TTCCATCTGACTTGCTGTTCGTCTGCCTCTTCTTCTTCTTGTTGGATGTTGGCTTTTGTTGTTGTTGTTGTTGTTGTTGTTGCTGCTGCTGTTGCATCCTCCCTGGTACATCGTCGCAGTTTGCACTTCATATTTTCAGCGGCCTTTGTTTGCTTTGATGTTATTTTTGGTAATACAAATAGTACGAGTAAGGGAGGGGGGGGGGGGGGGGGGGCGGTGTCGCATGAAGAATGCTCGTTTGTTGTTGCTGTCACACCAAGAAGTTACCCGGCAATTAATCATATGCATTGCTTTCTTCGCCTGTCCAGACACTTTTGAGTTCTTCTTCTGCTACTTCTTGTTCTTCGTGTGCGCATATTGATGCCAAATCAAATGGGCATGTGAATGAAATGACAACTACTAAGAAAATAGAAAAGAAAAAAATGCTAAAAAAAATACATTCCTTTGCGACCGAGCAGACAATTCGTCTTAAACTATCAAAATTGTGCTCAGCTTTTGTAGTTATTTCTTAAATCTCTATATTTAAAGCTGTCTGTCCTGATTGACTGACTGACTGACTCACTGACTGACTGATTGGTGATCACAAGGTGCAAGTCAATTTGGCATCTACAATATTATTTATCGTCAATATTCACATATGGAAAATGGTACGCTCAAATATCTTTTCATGCCCTCAAATTTATTTATTGATGATTATAACTTTACTAAACATTTCATGCTAATATAATCACATGCTTATTTATTGCTAATATTACTCCTTTAAAGGTTCGCTCTATTCTATTTCTGTATGTAAATGTATCTTAAACTGATTATATCTAATATGTGCCTGTCTTTTTACTCACTTCAAATGCCAACTTAGCAGCCCCCACATTCTTGACTATAAAAATCTTAGCGTATAGCTAGTTGCTTTGACATTTAGCAACAGCAACAACAACAACAACAGCAAAAATAGGAACAACATCATGAAATGCTTTATGTACAACAATGGGCCATGGGGCTAAGCCCATGCGAGAGGCTAACCAGAAGAAATGAACGGAAATTTATCAGCTGCATTGTTAGTTTTTATGCCTTATAGACGCCTATTAAAGGATTATAAATGATGGGCTATCTTTTTAAAGGGTGCTTAGCAGGGATTTTATTTCATGCGATTGTGAAGAGGATTTGCGGCTGAATTTAAAATTCAGTTAATGGGAATCAAGCCTAAAGTAAGCGATTTATTGCAGCTCTCTGAAGTGAGCTGAAATTATTTCAAGTTTATTTAATGCTATTTTTTTATGGTATTTGCTGCAGCTGTGTATTAAATATTTTAATATATCAGTTTGATCGATGGCCATAAAATGGAATTTTCCTGATGCCATTTTTGTGCGAATTCGTGCAATTAAAATGGTTTCAGGCGCAAGAGCAGATACATTTTTCGCTTGCTCAGGTAAAGAACCATTAAAATGTAACACAATAGTTGCGAAAATGTCTATAATTACACGAAATGGCCAGGCCGGCGATAGAGGAACAGGGGAATAGACAAGCGAGGGGAGGGTGTTGCTAACGGCACATCTTGAATGCATTGACTGCATTTCCGATTCACCAATTGTTCAGCTATGCGCAGGATGTGCAGGACACGAGTGTTGGTAAATAATTGGTTATGGGTCTGGCCGATCCCACAGGCCAGACAACACTGAGGTTGAGGGTAGCAACAGTATCAGCAGACGATGGGTTGCGAAAGGGAGTTGGTGGGGAGAACAAATAAAATATATTTATATATAGCAAAATATATGCCACTCGACTTTTCCCACCGATTTGTCCGTGCATTGCTCTGCCTGTCATTTCTTCGCTTTGATTTCTACATTTTTATGCACGCATTTCCAGTTTGACGTCTGTCAGATGCAGATACATTTTCTATCATTTAATGCGTACGTATGTGTGCGCGTGTGTGTGTATCTTTTATTTAATTATTGTTGTAAATTCGTTCAGCAATATCATAAATTTCATAGCATCACACACACACACACAAAACAAATTCCTTGATGGGCGTCGCTTATTTAAGAAGTGCCCAACAAAATGTCGTTTATTCCCAAATATTTACGCACACAATTTTGTAAAGGGCTTTCAAAAGCTATCAACAGCTTAGGAAAATTATAGGAAAATTAGCAAAAACAAAAAAACAGAAGAATTTTATCTTGAATTTTTCTTTAAATAAATCCCCATTTTTATTGCATGGAAAGGAAAATATATGTTCCAGATGGAAGTGTTGAAAATGCTCTAAATTATAATTAATAATTGTTTACAGAAAATTATTTTTAAAAACTTTTTTTATAATCTTTGATATCAAAACAAAGTTCCGAATCGATATTTAATGAATAAATAACCCACCTAATGTGATACGCATTGCTGCAAGCTCTTAAGAGATCTGTAGATCTCTAGAAATATAAACAGGAATGGATTTTTATATAGATTGTGTAAATAATAAAGTTTTTGGTAAAGTTCAGGCATGAGAACTAAAAGGAATTTAACATCTTGACAATTAACACACAGTTGAGCGAGAGAGAGAGAGAGAGAGAGAGAGAGAGAGAAAGATTGCGAAATACTGGACCAGACCTCTATAGACCCGCCAATTCCAAGTTAAAAATGAAAATAATAATATACTTCCATGTAATTCATATTAATAGACTTTGTGTAAACGTAAATAATTAAATTTTGTTCTCTTACAATTCCCGCTCTAATTTTCGCTTCTCACACGCCCAAAGAAACCCACACAACAGATCACTTCCGTATGCGAAACATGCAAAATTGTTGAATTTCAGCAACCTTCATTAATATTCATTCCAGTAATGCTCAAAGTGAACTTTAAAATCTTCGAAAAATGTTCTTAAGTGATCTTCACTTGTATTCCTTGGGGACAACCGCAGAGTGGATTAAGTAATGAACTCACATCTCGACTGCACAACAACAACAACAACAGCTGCGTGGGGCAAGTGGCAGCAAAGTAGCTGCTATTAAAGAGTCTCCACTTAAGCTGCTGTGTTTGTGCAACACCCCCAACAACAGCAACAGCAACAACAACTGTGGAATGTTAATGCGCCAGCCAAAAGCTACAAACGTCGCCGAGTCATTAGGCACAGACGAGGTGCGTGGCACGGGGTGTGTGGCGCGGGGCATGGGGCTGAGACCCCACTCATGTCGCTCTGTCACAGCGAAAGGTGTTTCAGCGGGGCGCAGCAGAGTGGCAGAAGGTGCGCATCAATTTTGAAACATTTTTTATTTTTGTTGTTCTTTTCTTTTTTGAAACATTTTTGCCGCCAAATCGATGGCACGCCCCCGCGCTATTATGTGTAGCCTCCCCCGCCCGTCAACCAGAGATTTCAGCTGTGGCCACACAATTATCCGTAGCAGCATCCGTCAACACGAGCGCAGATCCTCTACAGAACGAGTTCTGGAACAGTGTTAAGTAATGAGTTAATCTGCGCAGCCTTCGCATGATTAAGTGCTTCAAGCAGCGTTGATTTGTCTGTGAGGAGGGCGCATGGTTACGTGGACGGACTGGGGGGGAGAAGTTGCTGATGTGGCCTGTAAATAGAAACATTTTGTTGCCTCGTCTCGTCTTGACTGATGAATTATGATTGAAGCTGCCTGAAAATGCACGAACATACGAATGCAAACGAGAGTTTGACCTTGTTTTAGATACCCTGTAGCTTAAAGCGGTTGTATATGTGAGACAATTACGGAAGAGCTACAAACTTTGCATATTTTGAAGTAGTTTACACATGTCTAGTTTTAATTTCAAGCTCCCGATTTTTAACTGGGAATAACAATCAAGTCTTCCTCATTTTATTAAGTAATATTCATAAGGAATAAGGTATTGTGTATAAAACTAAAGTATCTTCTAGTTAAGCTTTTCATCCCTAGGCATCTTCTAGTCTAGTCGTCCGCAATTCTTCCATTAATATTCACAAAAGACATTGGAGTTCTACAAATAGGGTATCTAATAGTTGAGCATCTCAACCCTAGACTTTTTCTGCATGTTTTCTCAAGGATTTATCGCGTAAATTAAGTTAATGTGGCAAAGATTAAAGAGCGCGCTGTGATCATTTAACAACTGGAATTGTTAGTGCTGCAAGTTAAACTTATCTTCAGCGCAGTTAGGCTACCAGTGTTGTTGAGCGTGCGGCAGACTGTTGCTTTGGCGTGAGTTAAAGTGGGTTAAATCAAAAGCCGTTTTTGACGTCGCAACATAACGGCTTATCAATATGATAAATTACGATACAGATATCGTATAGCTCGTACTACGCCCGCTCGTATCTATGTAGGTGAAAGTGAAAACGGTAGCCACCGGCTCTGATTGACATAATTGGGCTTAACGTATAAGTCCGAAAGACACAGAGAAACAAAAATACAACACACAGATATCGCATTCGTTTATAGTTTATGATCGTTCAGACAATGATCAATTACAATGAGCAATCTGAATCATAAATATTGTCAGTTTGACATTATGAACAGAGACGAGAAAAAAAAAATCAGAAACAGAAACTCAAAATGCGATACACATTTTTTTTTGCGTTGCTCCGACCCAAACCCCAATTAAAATTGTGATTATGATGAGGCACACAGAGCAGAAAGAAACACAGCTACAGAGAAACAGAGAGGGAGAGAGAGAAGCGGGAGAAGCAAAGTCGCTCTATAATGCATACTGGTACTTGTATATTTTGAGGAAGGTGAACACACAACGAGCCATAAATTATAATTATCGACGAGATTAACTCTTTGCCGTAGCACTTAACGCCGATGACACATGCGCCGAGAGTTTGTCCACAAACCCCCAAGCCCAACAAGCCAAAGAGTTGCCTCTTCTTGGTGAAAGAAACCCAACCGCAGATAAGCAGCAAAGAAGACACTAAATCGTATGCGATAGCAGAAATAACAACAGCAACAAAAACTCAGGAGAAAAAACAATTTAGACAAAGTGGTTATCAACTATTAGATACCCTGTAAGTTCAGAGTATTAAATGAGAGAAACTAATAAAAAGAAGTTTGATGTATCGACTTACCGCATATATTTTAACTGAAATATACAGCATCTGAAAGAATATAAATTGTGTAAGTAAAATGTTTTATAGAAGAAATATAATTTATCACTATGTAACTTAATCCATTATTATTCTTATTAATATTTTTATTATTATTAATATTGATTCTAATGTTTTTGTGCGATTAATAATATTATTAATATCTTTCTTCACAAACATATTGTTAAAAATATTTCCACCACAGATTGCCCTTCAAGACCATTTGTGTTCTTTGCGTATGCAACAGTCTTCGTAAGCGATAAATATTTTGATATACCCTGTAAAAAATAAATTTCCTGATAATTTCATACGGCATAAAAACATGACACATGCCTGGTTGAAAATTAAAAAAAAAAAAAAGAAAACAGAGTAAATAATGCATTCAAAATGTTGCAGGGCTTGGTAAAAAAAAGCTGCATTATACATTCCAGGTTTTTGTTGTTAATATTGTGTGTTGTTGTTTTTATTCTTTGATATGCTCTTCTTTTTCGTTTTTTTTTTTTTTGGCGATAACTTAAGGGAGACAATGTGGCAAGACGTTGCGACGGCGTTGTCGGCATTTTCATTGATATCTCTCGCAGTGGCAAACGAACGAACGCAAGAAGCTCAAGAATTTATGACCCCCTGTGGCTTTATCGACGCCTCTGTCATGGCAACCCTCGCACAGCGATTGACAAAGCGAATGAAAGATCCAGCAACAATAACAACAACAACAACATTGTCACAGCTCCATAAAAAATAAAAGAGGATGTTTCTTAAGTCTGTCTGAATTTTGCCAGGGTAATGCACAAAGGTCTTGTTACCATTTCCCATGCCCAATCGAGTGTGTAGAATGTACCCAGTGCTCACTGTACCCACTTCATTCAGCACACACACATTTCATTCATTGCTGTGATTTGAGACGCCTGCAGTCGCTCGCCTTTTGGTAAATTTCAATTTTTTATAGATGTCGCGGGTCGTTGACGCTCTTGACCCTTACGAGCGAGCAGATAGCAGCCTATACCTTCCCTTCTCCTTCATCTCTATCCCAATCGACAGAGTCTGTCCTCTATCGAAGCCCTGTCTTATCGGGCAACCAAAACAAATGTATGATTTGTGCCAAGTTTGTTTTTGTTTTGTTGTCTGTGTGTGTGTGTGTTTGTGCTTCCCTAAGACGACGCGATTTATGGCTGCAGATCCCCAACTTAATGCTTAATTATTGCAAATTGCATATCGAGTCGCCGAGGCTCAATAAAAATTAACACGAATTTTCGTTAGCCAGCGAATTTCTGCATAATATTTTAATTAGTGCAGCGGCCATAAAAAAAAACACAACTCTCGTGTAGCGTTAAAATAAACCCAAAGATGTGGCAACTTAACGACCTGCCAGTAGCAGGTTCCTCAGAGCCAAAGTGTGTGTGCGTGTGTGTGCACACACTTAAGTACTGCTTGGATGGCCCATGGTAGGCGACTAAAAATAAAATGTTTAAACGCGCGTTAAAAATCGTCTTAAAACAACGCACATTAACTTCCAACATAAAAACGATCGTGTGGGCTTAAGAGTTGGGCATTTCCCTGCTGGCGAATAGCTTTCCAACGGTTTCATGCTTAAGCACACGAGCTGAAAGCGCGACTTAAACCTGTGCTTAAGCTTGAAGTGAACACAAGTCGTAGGCGATAAAAGGCCTTAAAATGATGCAAAAGCTTTAACCAAACACAGTCAGGCATTTATCTGGAAGCACATGGTGCACATTAACAAGTTCATTAAGAACAGCTTAAAGCTCTTCACATTTGCTCGAAAATAGCTTGAAAAACCTACAACAGCTTAAAGTTAGCATAAACCTTCAGTCTGGCCTGTTTAAGTAAGCCCAACACTCAGAGAAGCATGATTTAATATGATAAGACCCTAACAAAGCACTTTAATATTATTCTAAAACTTATTTTCAAAAGCTTACTTTAATGTAAACGAGCTTTTTCAACAACTTTGTTAATTTAAAGCTATGTAAATAGATTTAAAATAGTAAAAAGCTATAGGCAAGATTTTTTGCATTGCCTAAATGCAATTAGGCAAAACTTAAGCTAAAGCTAAACTTAAAAAAAATCTCTACTTGTGGCTGCTCCTCTTTTGAAGCTAATGTCATTTTAGCTTTATTTTTATCCTTGACACTTTTGCCCCTTTATGCTGTGTGTGTGTGTGTGTTTTTTCCGCTTCGACTGTCTCAAGTCTGCTGTATTAGAAGCGTTTATGCCGCATGCCCAGCTTCTTGGAAGTCTCTAACAATTCAGCAGTCTCTCTGTCTCTCTGTCTGTCTGTCTGTATGTCTGCCTGTCTATTGGTCTGGCACAATGGTAGTCTGAACCAGGGCCCATCATCATCATCATCATTACCAGTATCAACGCTTCCTGTCTGCGAATGGAAGACAAGTCGCCTGCTCAGCTCGATCGATCGGGTTCGGTATTGGCGTTTTCCAAGTCCCATAATGCCCGCGTCTGCGTTTTAAATTTATAAATTCTCAAATTATCAGTTTATGGCTGCTTTTAGTTTTATGAACCGATCACGTACAGACCATCAATGCCGATGCCGATGCCGATCGCTCGATCTTTAGCTGCGTGCGAATCTTTTTGCCAGTTCATGTTTTTTTTTCTCTCCTTTTTATTCTTTTTCACTCGTTTTATTTGTTTCGCTTCGGTTCGCTCGCCTTATTTTCAGCGCATTTTTTTTTTTATCGACTGCACAACTAATTAAAAAACGCTTCAGTCTCGCATTCGTATGCACAAAACATACTCAAACTCAGACTCATACTCATGCCACAGACTCATACTCCGACTCAGACCCAGCCAGACCCATATCCATTGCCTAGACCCCATTTGCTGGACTGGACAAGATCAAGACCCTGTTTTGGCTTCGGCTGCCTGAAGGGCTATCATGTGTAGCTGCGTGGCGCTTTTAGTTTGAAATTTAACAAATTATTTAATGATAGATGGTTGTTAAATTGTTGGCTACGCTTATATAACCCAGGCATCATTAGCTCTGGGGGTATTAAGTGATTATAGGACTTGCCCGATCATTCTGACCGGTCACTCCGAATGCATTTAATGCACTTAAATTAGTTCTTCGCTGATCGTTGCCCATGTGTGGCATATGCAGTAGCTGGCCTTAGGCATAAGCAGCTGACTCTACGTATAAATGTACAAGTAGCAACATTAATATGATTCAAATATCAAAAGTAAATGTCAAATATTATAAAATTAAATTCCCAAAGGTTTTCTGCCATGACTAATACGCATTTCCTTCTATACGAATAATAAAAAAAATTAAGTTCCTTTTTATGTGAAATTTAATATTGAGCCAGAAATAAAAGTCAAGCCAATCCTATTAAAATCTAGCAATTAAAACTAATGAAATTAAAAGTCAATTAAACTTTAAACTTGGTCAAATAAAATCAGTGCATAAAATATTCATAAATTAAGCACAAAAGATCAACATTTCAATAAGGCAAAAGCCATGCATTAGTTCCTTTTTTTGTTTTGTTTTATTTTGTACTATACTCGTATTATATTGCATAATTAAACATTAATATTGACATTGGCTCATTGTGTGTGTACGACAAATGCAAGCGATATATTGGGTAAGAATGCACGACTGATAGATTCCCTATATTGTCTCATTTGTTTAGTTTAAGTTTTCATTGAATAAGCCATTTTCTGCGGAGTACGATTTTGTGTTCGATAATCGATAACTTGCCTGCTTTCCAAGCAATCGATATCGAAATCCTGTTTTCGGAGCAAGCCTCTTAAGTTTCAAGAACTCGAGCCACAAAACTTGGCATGTAGCTTCTAGAATAGTATATACAGACGAAGTATCTTTCATTTTGGTTGGTAGCAGAAGGTTCACTTGTACTTGTTGCCTTTTTATTCGTTCGTAATGCAATTTTTGGAATCGATAAATAATGTGCCAAAATATACGTGTTTATCGAATAGTTTCCAGATGAATTCACACATATTTTTAAGAGGCTTAGATGCTCTCAACTTTCTGTCGGTACCACACACAAGCCTCTAAATATTCGTTACTCTCTTTGGCCAGCTTTTTACAGTTACAGGGTATTTTGGTAATTATTTAAAATAGGCTCATAAATTAGTCTCGTATTTGCAGCGTTTGTAACAAAAATTTCATGGACCTTAAATTGAATACTGTTGATAACTATTTATCAATATTTGTATTTTATGGCATTTAATTAATATTTTCAGTAGTCAGCGACCACCGACGGCGCGTTTGATAACAGCGCATTCAAATTCATTGAATGGATGTTTTTTCCCCTCCCTCTCTCTGTGTGTGTGTGTGTGTGTGTGGGCGTTTAAATACAGCTCATACATGAGCTTGAAAATGTTTCGAAATCAAGATAATCATATAGAGTGGATTCATTAAAACGAAATATGAGCAACAGCAACAAAAAAAAAAAAAAAAACAAAACAAAAGACCGCCGTTTTTATGGAGCTGCTCGCACAGCTGCTGGCGGTCCACACACACGCCCTGCCCCCTCCTACCCACCCCTCTCTGTGCTGCCCGCCCCCACCAACACTGTGTTTGTGGCAAATAGTTTTGTAGATTTCTATCGACGCCCTGTGAGTTGTTTTGGTAGCAACAAATAAACAGCAGGCGGCATAAATGCAACCCATATATCCATATATGTATGAACATATATATGTATCTGTATCTGAAAATGTATCTGTATCTGTATCTAGCTGTGTATTTTGTTCATGCATTTGTATATTTCGGTATAATTAATTACATATTTCAATTGTGTGACATTTGGCTTACGAAATTTTAATTCTCTCAATTTTTTTTTTTTGTTTAAACATTTTTTATGCTTGTTGTTCAGTTTTTTTTTTATTGGACAACTACTGCGCCGCGGGTTTAATTATGCCTCGCATTGGATTTCTATACACACATACACACAGTGCTCAATTTAATGTATACTTTTTACAATAGTTAGGCACTTCATGTTTATTGAATATTTCATTCAACGCAGAGCATAACATAAGTGTGCTGCTGAGTCAGTCGGCTAGAACTCATTCACATTCTTTAGAAGCTCAAAAAAGTTATTCAAAATAAGAAATCATAAGGTATTTATTGTCTTGGAAAACAAACATTATTTCTGCTATTTTCTACCTTTTGGGCTTCCTGCCTCTATCAAATCTGAGCACCGATTTTTTAGTCGAAATTCATGTTTAAATCTTACGCCAAGATTCGTATATAGACATGGGTCAAAACTTATCACCCCCATAAGTCGGTCAAATCTCATCCGATTTTCACGAAGCTTATCTTTTTCTTAATGGTTTTCCCTCTATATTAATCTGGCATTCAAATCTGAACACCGATTTTTTAGTCGAAATTCATGTCCAAATCTTACCCCAAGATTCGTATATAGATATGGGTCAAAACTTATCACCCTCATAACTCGTATATA